AATCAGTTAATGTGGATTTAATTTCATTTAAATTATTTATTTTCATTCCATTCAAAAAGAAAAATACATTTGAATACATCTATATTAAAAACATAAATAAAATGATTTTTTAATCTTAAATACAACGAAAGAGAGTGCAATGTGTGTGGTCAAAAACATAATCCGAGACATATAGATTTCTAGAATAGTTAAAAAAATTAAATATGAGGTCAATATGTGATAAAGCAGCAAAATATTCACACACGAATTAAATCACTGAGATTATACATGTGGTAATTAATTATAGATATGGTATAGCTACAGTTTAATTTCTGAGTACATCGAAGAGGGGTTTACAGCTTGATTGCACTCACATGAATACTTACACTTCAATTATTTCAATATGTGTCAGTAATAGTTATGCTTTCATCATACCAGTCTTACATTTACATATGTACCAATATGTTAACTGATGGTATATCAATGAGTTGGATAGTATAACATGACCCAATGTCATATTTATAATTGTAATACGTATAAACGGATTGTTCTACTAACTTGTAAGGGTTAAGTTTACTGGTCATAACCCAGAACTCCTCGTGATCAGTCAATCTGAGAGTCTTAAAAATTTTTTATACTCAACTAAAAACTCTTTTTTTATATTCTATTGTTAGAAAGAAAACAGTTTTTCTATGACTTTTATTAAAATTAAACAGTAAACAATACCAATTATACTTCATAATCTTTACAAATAATATCATATTTCTAAAGATGAAACAGTGAAAAGAGTTTATTTATATTATTATTATTATTATTATTATTATTATTATTATTATTATTATTATTATTATTATTATTATTATTATTATTATTATTATTATTATTATTATTATTATTATATATAAATGACAAAAATAATTCTCTTGTCGAAAAAAAAATCTCTCCCGTACTAATTTGAATTTCACACTCATTACGTACGTATCAACTTGATACACTGCATTATTATATTATTCTATTACTTCAGTGACAAAATGATAATATTAGATATATGTTAATCATAGGAATGCTACTCGATAAAGCAAATCTTAACTGTTATATCTATATATGTATCCTAGATTTGTCTTTAACTTATTGGTTCGTAAGCACGAAGATAAGACATGAATGACGTGAGCTGATAATCAAATATTGTAAATGGATATATGTAATGATTATTTGTATATTTATCGTATTAAATTCCATTGATCTAAATATAGTAAATGTTCTACGTTACCAAAAGAATAATCTTTTCTTTGCAATAAATTATTTTTATAAAATTAAAATTAGCATAAAAATTATCAAAAAAAATTTATACATTTCATGATTCAAAATTAAAAAATTCTTTATTGTAATCATGATGAGAGCAATTTTATGTAAAAAAAAAGAAAGCTAACATAGAAGCAGTCTTTTAAACAAATTGACCAATCTAGACTTAGCGGCAGGCTGCGATTACCTTTAGGCGAACAATTATTAAATTACGCTGATATTATTTATGATTTAGAATGAAAATATGTGTGTTTAAAACTAATATTCGAGATAATATTTAAATAAATCACTCAATTGTTCTCAAAAACTATCATTTTTTGCCATTTTTTTTATTATTATTTGAAATGATCTTTTTGGAGTAAAAAGATTTTTCAATGTCCGGCATATGCCAATTTTGCCCTTTATTTTAGTCTGTTCTTAGATACAATGTAACTTTTCTTCTCTTTTATGATAAAATTCACGCACAAGAGTGTATTTAAAAATATTTTCATCTGATATAAAAGTTAAAAGGGCAACGGTAAAACTGTGAGAAATTTCAAATGATTTATTGTCTTACTGCGAACTGAGAACTTTTGCTGGATATTTGTTTAGCTGACAGCAATAAATTTACGGGAAAATTCCACCGAGTCTTGGTTTTCTTTACTTTTAAGTTTCAACTCTTATTGGAATAAGAAGACGATCATTATTTCTCGTCAATATTTCTACGAAAAAAATATCTAAATGTATTTTTTCAACATTTATTATTTATTTATTATTCAACTTTTTATTTTTTTTTAAATTACTCCGAAATACGAAAAAAATATTTACTCGAACATTCTAAGTGCTCAATTTTCGACAAGTTTCATGGGTACTTTTTTCTTCAATGTAGAAACTTTTTTTTATTGATGAAATTATTTTTAACTGAATTTGAATTGAAGTAAAAGGGTAACATGTACATATGTGTTGACAAAAGAGTCGAGACAAATGGTGAAGTTCCACTTTTTTTTTTACTTCTTGAACATAAGTCCAAGCGCCAGTAATAAGCCCTTGATGGACCAACCGACTCAGTTACTCAGGCCACCCTCGAAGTTCTTCGATATTACCCTCAAAATTACAACCAATAAACTTGCCTGACTGAAAGTTTATTGAAGTATATCAGAAGAAAAAATTTTCTTATTTTTTTTTTTTTAATAAGTAATTTTAACATTACTTATGATTGGTGTTCAAAAATCATATTATAATAAATATAATCTAGTTGGAATGCAACATAACTGACGAAATCGTAGCATAGAAGCTTTAAAATAAATTTATTGAGGTCAATGGCAGTACTAATTCATGGAATTCAACTTGAATGAAAAAATAGACAGATAATTACTTCAAGTGTTATCGCAAGAACTTGTTGATTAAGACTACTTGAAAATAAACAAAACAAAATTACAAATATTTAATATAGTAAACACATAGTATATCCAAATAGCTTCAACACAAGAAATATTTCAATTGAAAATAATTATATAATTTTCATTTCAGTTGCTTCTAATCTGGAAAAATTTAGTAGTTAAATAATTTTTTTTCGGTTACTGAAAACAGTTTACTTTTCCATTATATAATTAGAGCAAATATTTTTCTGAAAATCTCTATTTAACTTGTATAAAGCAGAGTTTACTCATCAGAACTATAGAATATGAAAAATCCTCTGATTATTTAACGAAAAAATTAAAATTAAAATAAAAACATAAAACTCCAAAATCTGCATCATAATTTTTGGTAGTAATTTAAAAATTCTCAAAAAATACCTCAAATCTAGGTTTCTCTCAAAAAAAAAATGAAGAAAAAAAAGAATGAATGCAAAATCACAATGATTGGTCTACATCGGATCAAGACCTCCCAGAAGATACCAAAAGAAGTAGCCGCAAATTACTGGATCTACATCAACGTCACGGAGGCACGAAAAGTGGAAGTTAATGAAAGCATTGACTAGAGAACAAAGAATAAAGAAAAAAATAGGGAATATATATATTAAAGCAAAAATCATATCTCTTATTTGCGTACCTCATACGTGTGGACGATCAGAAGCACGTGTTTATTTGAAAGCTTATGTAAAATATTAGTTTTCAAATAAATAAATATCTCTCTCGTATAATCTACTACATATCTATATATAAATACGTATACACTCAATATCCTTTTCTCTCCCTCAATTCAGCTTTAATCTCTTGACAGCTTTCTTACATGCCATTTGCAGGTGACACTTGAAAATCGAAAAATTCTCTACGAATATGTTTTTATTTTATAATAAAATACTTAATAAATGTATTGAAGAAACCAGAGGTGAAATTTAATTTTTTTTCTTACCAAAACGATAAAGATAATCGTATCATATATAATATGAATGTGAATTCATAATCTACAAATTTGAACTAATCAATAATTAATATTTCTCAGAATATTCGAAGGTCTCAAAGAGAAAGGCTCAAATCCTTCTTCAAACTACTATATGATACAAAACATTCACTAAAATTTCCTACTTCTATCCTTAAATAGTTATTTTTCTTTTTACCAACTTATATCTATCTATATCATTGACGATTTCTCTATCAACAAATGCTACTATAAATTGATAATAACAAAAAATAATTAAATAATAAGAAAGTAGGGCTTTAAATAATACTTTATTTCTTCGATAAATTACTTTCAAGCTGCAAAAAATTTTTTTCTGTCATCTAAGAAATATTTTAAGACTCTTCAATCATCAAAGTCATCACTTACAATAACTAGTACGTGAGAACTGTTTTTAGTAGTATGTAAATGCGTGTATATACAGTGTAAAAATACATGAACACATTTATTACATACTAAACACTCTAGAGTTGAATGAGATTTAAAAAGAAAAGTTTGACTTTATTTTTCTTCATATTTATTGTGACGAAATATTTAAATTTTAATTTAATAATAATATGTGTGTAATAGCACGGGTTTTTATGCTGTATTTTTCATGCATATCTTCTATAATCGCGATGGACACTCCAATAATAACACCTGCAAATTACGTGGTCACGCACAGGCTCATTATTATGAACATTTGAATGGTTTACTAAAATATGTATCAGTTTAAATACATGATGTTACATTTAAATATCATTATTATCACAAAAATAAATTATTTTTCAAATATTTTCCAACACATTGTATCTACCTTTATTTAATAATATATTTTTTCTAAACTTTTCTCAAACATTTTTTATTGTCTAAGGCAGTTTTCGTATTTAAATTCTCGTTTTTACTGAATAATAAAATTTTTGTACTTTAAATAAAAATAAAGTAATAGTTATAAAAAAAAAAAACTCTACAATTTTTCAAAGCAAAGTAATTTTGAAAAATAAAAAGTAGAAATTATCTTAACTTTAAAAGTACAAAATAATGAATACATCTAAAAAAAAAGCATGATTTGAATGCGTGTGATAGGCAATTAAACAAAATAATAATAATAAAAAAAAGCAAAAATTTTTTTTTCCATCAAGTCTCATCCAATAACGTTTAAAAAGAATTTAAAATAAAAAAAGGAGACATACATACGTGCGCGTGCGTATAATGAGAGTCCACGTGCGTTCGTAAGTAGTGGTATTATAGTAAAAGAGAAAGAGAGAGAAGCAATAAAGAACGAAAGAGACGGATGATATTGAGTATGTATAGACCCATGATCACTTCACAAGTCAGAAAGAGAGTCAGTCTGAGTTTAGAGGCGCATTGGTCAACAGTATTTCAAGTAGTAGTTGTTAGTGCAGGCCAACTGTTTGAGTTTTAGATCATTTTCATTTTATTCCAGTGACATTTCAAGTGACAAACGAACAAGAGAACATATTAAATAAGAGATTAATATCCTCCCTTAATGTCGAGTCATTTATTATTTTATTTTTATTAATCAAGACAATTGATTACAATGCCTTCTGCTAAGTCACTTATTTATAATACGATTCATTAATAAATTCATCTTAAAATTTATCATCAATCTTAACTTTACATTTGTGTGTTCTAATAGTTTATTTACAAATCATGAAATTGCGTGAATGTGATATGAAAATGAGAGAAAAACTTCTGAAAGATAATTAAAGAGAAAACTTTACTGTTGGAGTAAAAAAACAGTTGAAAGGTGTGTATTTATTACTTTGTTTATTTATTATTCTTGTTTAGATAGTTTGAGTTTTTCATTTTGAATAAAAAATGATGACGCCCTGAGTTTACGGACAATTAATAATAATTATGTGAATCTATCGATAAATAATTAATCAGTCTGAGGATTGGAGTAATAAATAGAGTAAAAGTATTTTATCGGTGACGTTTCGATAAATGATTTCTATTGGATATAAAATTAATTAACGCAAGAGTAAACACTGTTACGGAAGATGCATTATTTAAGATAAGCATGGTAGGGAAAAAATTGTCATTTTAATTTTCTTGTTTTTGAAATTAATTTTCATAAATTTAATAGTAAACTGTTTGCAAATTTAAACTCGTTAAAATTATTATAATTTCGAATAAACTTTTTAAAAAAAAGTCTCAAATAAATAATGAACAATTTTTCAATTGTCTTTTAAATATGTGAAATTTTTTCGAATAAAACCTTTTTTGTTCAAAATAATAAATAATTTTAAAATGTCAAGATTATTGGCCACAGCCACGGTATTAACTTTTTTTCTTAGAAAATCAGATTGAAATTTTTCTTGTCAAGTAAGTAATGTAGAAGAAAAATTCTTTAATCCACCATTACTCTGTACTCTCCACGTTTTTCACCTTAAATTATCCTAAGCCATTTTTTAAAAATCCTATTAACAGTTACATCCCCTTTTAACTTATATTACATTACAATTTTTAACCTAAAGAATCGTAAAAATCCCTTTTTTCCCCAAAATTAAAAAAAAAAAAAAAACATTGTCTCTCCAATCTTAACTATTTCCCTCTTAAAGCAAAACTTTGCCGAACAGTTGAACCTGTCACCCAGTCACGTACACTATTCTTCTTACCTGTACTAAATCAAGTTTTCCAAAGATTGAAGAAATGTTTTAGGTACAAGAGAAAAAAATGATATACAATTATCTATAGAATTAACAAGCAGTAATAATATATCAGTATTATAATAAAATAATATAAAAATGCCATAATACGACATGTAATATGTCGCAGCAGCATTTCAGGTTGTTGATAATCGTTGGCTCACGGAAATAAAGAGAGTGAAGTTAACGGGATTGATTACAGGATATTATGAAGATAGAAAGAGAATAATAATCTTCATTACCTGAGAATCTTGAGTATTTCAGGCTATTTTATTCATTCATTTTTTTCAATCATCTATTTCAATTGAATCCATTATCATCAGTCAGTAAAATATTCTTTCTATCAAAAGTAATTAATATTCCCACAACTATTCAATACAATTATTTTTTTTTAATCTATTTACTATCATTAGTTCGAAACTTCTTTTTAATCTCAAATCATTTTCGTAATACAGAATAATAAAAAGGGAAAAATTGAAGAAATACTTGAGCTCATAATGATAATTTATTCTTCTTCTATTATTCACCAGTGGCATGTTAAAAAATAATTAAAAATCTAATGAATTTTTCAGAACATTTTAATGCCATTTTAGCTGGCAAAAAATATCTAAACTTTTATCATAAAAAAGAATAAAATATGCTACACACGTGTCAGTATAATTCAGTGTGTTATATCCGCTTTAGTTATGTATATTTTTATTTTCTACATGTTCATGTATACAGACATATATAGATGTTTATATTTTTCATATTTCTTTGTATTCTTTCTCTTCTTTCAAAATAACAAAATGCAAACAATGCAACGAAAAAATTTTTGCATATTCAACTCCACCACTCCTAATTCCGCTATGTTGATTCTATGCTTTAATCAGTAATATTTATAAATTTGTCAGTCCACATTAACAACAATAGTGTTCATTTTTTATTCCACTGTGTGAGAAACAATATATTTCTATACATTCAGTAGATAAAAAAATTTCATTACAATTTTCTATTCACTCATTCTCCTTCCTTAATTAACGTGCGATGAGAATTGGTATTGTTTAAATTGGAAAAAAAAATTTTTCCCTATTTAAATAATACGTTATCGATACTTCAAAAAATCAAGTTCATTAATTTGATTCATTAAATATTTTTTTGTGAACTAATTATCAATAATAAAAATAGCAAATAATAAATACTTGAAGTAATAGCTGTGCTATTAGTATCGATTAGTATTAGAAGGGCAATTGGAATAATAAAATTGAAAGTCAAGGATTTTTCGTCGCTAAGAGAAAGGACTGTGTAATGAAAGAAAATAAAGGATTATAATCTAAAAATATTATTTAAAGAAAATATATTTAATTTATTCTATTTTAGCATTGCAAACATGACATGATCTTACTACTGCATAATTTTGACCTTTGTACCCTTTTAGCTAAAAAATATTCTATTGTTTAAATTGCAGCAATAGATATTTATAAGCAAAAAAAATAGTAAACGAAATAGTAAATATTATTACAAGTATCGCACAATTTGCCAATTTCACGGATACAAAGAATAATAATTGAAAATATAGAACACATGACACGAGGTCGTGTTATTGTTCACTGGTTGACAATAGAATCAGATGTTTTGTCGTGTATAATAGAGCGCGTGGCCTGCACACTAATGAAAGGGTTGCACCTTCAATTCACAGCATAGAATGCGTTCAATATCTAGGCATCAGTGGTTCCCAATAATTTTACATGAAAAACATTTTGCTTATCACATCGGTCAATGATTAGATTGGTATTTCAATTTAGTTGACTTGCAAGTTCCAAGTCTTTTTCCACCTCTCACAAAATTTAAATCAACATCAAGATATGTATTACAGAATAATGACCGAGCATATGTTACAATATCCATAATAACAATTGAGGTAAATATAATTTTGATAAACATTAAATGTGTACTAAAGATCTGGCAATTTTTAATGAAGATTAGTAGTGTAAAAATAATGATAAAATGTATTTATTTGTCAGCGTTGACGTTGATGGGTATTCTTGAACTAATCATTATTCTACATCATCGTCGGGAATGAAATACAAAAATAAATGGACGCTGTTTAGCCAAGTCAAATCGTCATGTCGGGGTTTGTGAGCAACAACCGGAGCTACAACTGGATTAACTTGGTCACATCAAGGGATATATATTTAGATTTACATGCATGCACTCTCAGTCGGTCCTCTTGAATCATGTCCCAACGAGTGTGCAACAAACGATGTAGAAAATAAATCATCGGTCATTAATTAATTAAAGAGACATATTTAATAACAAAAATGTCAACAAACATCCTAGCAAGATATCAAATAATTTCCCATTTCTCTATAATATTGAGGAAATTTTAGACAAGAGGCCCTTTAAAAGGAAGAAATCTAGATTTCAAGTTGAAATAAAGAGATGAGCATATTCGAGAGGGTCAACTGAAAATTGATACAAATAGACTAGAGACTTGGCTTCCCCGAATGTCTGACAATGATTTTAAATAAGTCTTCATTAGACAAGTTTTCATAACAAAAGTGCTTGATAGCAATGACAGTAGATGAGATCCAGAGACAGTATTAATTAGCTGAGCATTGAGCACTCATTCAAACGATCTCGAGTATGATATACCAGTCTCATGCTGTGGTAAATTGAGTGCTCTGCAGTCATTGATATCTACACTTATATTAGGAAGTAGGCAAGAAAAAAATCATAAAAATTCAACAGTTTTTCAAATGCAAAATAAAATAACTAACTATTTAAAAAATTTTGTTAACAATTCCGATGAATAATCTTAATAAAAACATTATAAAAAAAACAATGAAATAACAAAATCTAGCAATGATAACGATATTATATAAAAAATAGCTAGAAAATTATTTCCATTAAGATGCTGAAAATGAAATCAGCTGAATTAATGAAACCATTAAATAAACAATCAAATATCGAACAAAGCAACAAGTTCAATGAATCAATCAAAAGAAAAAACAATGCTGAAAGTTAAGTGATCACAATGTAAAAACTGAAAAGAAAAATATGACACAAGCATAAAAAGTTATATTAGTAGCAAATGGTATTCATGATGGGGTTATTGAGGAAACTTTTCCAATGGCCTTAATCTCTGTATTTGAATCTAAAATACGAGAAAACGAGGGAGAAGGTAAAATTCAATAAGGAAAAGCAGAGTAAAGGAGAAAGACTGAAATTACTGGCCAGCATCTCTTAAATGAAATAGGAATTTGATTGTTATATACAAGCTAATGAGTTAAAAATATTTTAATGACGATTATTAAACTATAAAGTTTGATTCAAATAAAGTAAAGATATCTTGATTTTTATGAAAGAAAAAAAAAATAATTTATCATGTATTTGAAATTTTGATCGATAAGAAAAACATTAACAAACAGAAATAATACCTAAGAGTTAGTTCAAAAGTAAGATATAGGAATGGGATTTGTGCAATTCAATTTTATTGTTAAACACTGACAGTTTTATGAACAATATAGAAATAATTTGTTAGGTTCAATAACACTTCACTAAAATTTGTAATTGTCTCGAGTATAAGTTTGCTCTATTCTTTACTGGTGAGGATGATATGAAATGATACGATATGACATGATTGGCGTAAAATAGAATGGGAAAGAGATAAAATTATAGCAGATGCTCATATATGATGAAGATCACCGGAAGAATATCACTGAATTCACCCGGAACTGCAAATGACCAACGACGACAGCTGGATGCAGGATATTCATAGCTATTTGACCTAAATTTAAGTTAACTATTTTGTAATTATTCAATATTAAATTACCAATAAACAAATTTTATTTATGGATAATGTTTCATTTTTAATAACAAGATAAAACCTAACATATTTTTTTGTTGATCAAATCAACTTTAACTATTCTCATTATCTTAAAAGAGGTGCTAAATTTTGAGATTTAATAAAAAGATTCGATTAACGAGACGGTCTTTAATATTGAATGGTGAGAAAGATGTGGAAAAAAAAATAAGTTAATTGCAGATTCAAGAGATAACATTTTTTTCTCTCAATAATTCATTTTTTATTTTCCAAAGTATTACTTTGTCATTTTTTTCTAGAAATATTTAATTGAAATAATTTAATAAAAAATTTTTTTATTTATCATACTACACTCACATGTAATAATATAGAATTATCTACTAGCTAGAATCATTGCCTCGGTGTAGACATCCTAAGATACATCTGATATTAAAGGTATTCTTTACTTTCAATGCACGGCATTTGTAACACTTGACTAATGGATAATTGGTAACAACTCTAATGTAATTACTCACATCCATAAAATTCCATTCACTTACTCGAGATGGAAAAACAGATTTCAAAAGGATTAAATAAAAGAGATATTTATGGGCAGAATGATGGTAGAAAATATGGACAAAGATTGATAGAAAATGATGTTAATAGTTTAATAAATAGTCGTAATGTATTTTGAGACAATAATTAATGAGAATAACATTTAACACCCACCCCAGAATAAAGACGGAACTGACTCGTTATCGTGTACAAGGGATGTTCTAACGACTTTTGAGAAAATCCCACCCAAGACAGCTAACATTTATAGAGCTTGATAGCAGCATCGTTAAAGTTTCTTTTGTCTTGTTTTAGGTAACAACTATACCGGAAGAAAACGGATACAAAATGCCACGAGCATCAGTTGTACATATGACATCAACTGCCACAAGACCTCAGCATCTGTCACAGGTAATAAGATAATTTTGTCAAGGATAAAAGCCATTTTAATTCTATGTTTTTTTAAATTTAAAATAGTTAAAAATTTTCAAAGCTAAAATTGAATTATATTTTAGCATATATAAAAATATTTATGTTTTATAAAAAAATATTTTTAATATAATTTCTAATCAACTATCATGGAAATCTATTATCCTAAGAAATAGGGCAAAGACCTAGTGAATATAGTTTGAAAATTCCAAGTGGCCTAGTTTTGCCTTTCTCCCTTTCTTCTTTGTTATCTTTCTCTTACTCTCTTCTTGTGCCAATAGATGTTTGTCGAATAGCCACAAAATTCCTATCGAATTCAATCATATTTAAACTTTTCTTCATCACTCTCCTATTGGAAAAGCTAGACATTTTAATTTTGTTAATACATTGAATTAATTTGACTATTTAAAATAGGTACTGGCAACATTAGCATTGTCAATGGGAACATTATCATGCGGTTTGGCAAAGGGATACACATCACCAGCGGTGGACTCAATCTTAGATAATCAACCACACCTCTATCAATCAACTGGAAATGACACTTGGTACGTTTGCTTTAATTCAAAGCTAAATATAAAGACAACAATGATAGTAAATAAGTATTGAATTATCTCATCAGGTGGGCGTTCTCAGCAACTAAGCAAGAAGCTTCGTGGGTGGCTTCTCTTGCAATGTTAGGCGCAGGCTTTGGCGCCATGATCGGAGATTGGATTATGCGAAGAGGTAGGAGACTGGCTCTGAGGCTAACGTCTTTACCTCTGGCAGCAGTTTGGATTCTTACAGGGATTGCCCCGTGTGTAGAGCTTGTTTTCACAACAAGCTTTATTGGAGGCTTGTGCTGTGCAGTCATCACTATGGTTGCTCAGGTAGGTTTATCAATCGGCAATTCAATAAGGCATACATCAATAATCCAATGGATTTCATTCATTCTCGCAGGTTTACATTTCTGAAATATCCATGCCAGGAATAAGAGGTTGTCTATCAGCAATACTAAAAGCAGTTGGTCATCTTGGTGTTTTGCTTTCTTATATCACTGGCTCTTATCTTAACTGGAGAGAAAGTGCAATGGTGGTGGCTATTGCTCCAACCATGTTATTTATGGGAACACTATTTATTCCTGAAACTCCATCATATCTCGTGCTCAATGGCAAAGATGAAGAAGCCAGTGGAAGTCTTAAATGGTTGCGAGGATCTCACGTTGATGTTCGTCAAGAACTTCAAGTATTTATTTTTTTTTTTTCTGACTATGTTGAAAGTATGTTCAATTCATGTAATTCTTTTTTTTATCTATTATTCAGGTTATCAAGACCAACATTTTAGCGTCTAGAGCTAAACAATATGAATTGTCATTTCGTAATAGCATGCTCACACCTCGACTCTATAAGCCCATAGCCATCACTTGTGGACTAATGTTTTTTCAACGATTTTCTGGTGCTAATGCTTTTACGTACTATGCTGTTATTGTATTTCGTCAAACACTGGGTGGTATAAGTCCACATGGAGCCACAATAGCTATTGGATTCGTTCAACTTCTTGCTTCATTGTTATCAGGTATAATAACCAACCAATAATTCATTTAATATTCTAATGAAATAATTTGATATCAGTAATCAAAAATATTATTCCATTAGGGTTTCTTATCGACATAGTTGGCAGACTTCCGTTACTGATAGCCAGTACAGTCTTCATGTCTTTAGCATTAGCAGGATTCGGAAGTTACGCGTATTATAATTCCATGTCACAGAACATATTTGAGGATCCAACATCAATGGGTCAACACGACTGGATTCCCTTATTGTGTGTGTTAGTGTTCACCACTGCCCTTGCGCTCGGCATATCGCCAATTTCGTGGCTATTGATTGGTGAGCTCTTCCCACTTGAGTATCGTGGTCTTGGGTCGAGTATCAGCACCAGTTTTAGCTACTTCTGCGCTTTCTTAGGCATAAAACTTTTTATGGACTTCCAGCAGGTAATTTTTTTAATACTTTTTAACATTTTAAATTAAAATTTCCTTTTTGTCAAACTCGAAATGACTAATTGTCAGTAAAAGTAGCCTTGATAAAATCGACTAAATCTCAACGATTAAATACCTCAAGCTTTTCCCTCTTTTTTCCAGTTACTAGGACTTCATGGAGCTTTTTGGTTTTATGCAGCGATAGCTATTTGTGGCTTATGTTTTGTCGTATGTTGCGTTCCGGAAACAAAAGGAAAACAACTAGACGAAATGAATCCGGAATATGCTCAAGCCCGGTAGTACAAGGCATCCCTCACTGGAGGGTTATCGAATTTAGAAAAAGCTAACAAACCACTACCAAGTGGAGCTTATCCCAATCAACACGATCCTCGTGTACTTTATGCAGATCCAAAGGTTTTCCAATCACATCAACCGCTATACAATCAACTGTCTGATGTTCTCCAACCGAGAAAAAATGCCAAATCGATTGTAAATTATTGCGGTATTATTGTAGAAAAGACTGGCCGAATTAGCCGTTATATTGGTAACTTTATTCAGTCACATCGTTTTTTATTCCAACGAACTGAAAATATAGACAATAATTATCCCAAGAGAGTCGTCGAACAAATTTCTAACGATATTTATTTAAATAATTTAGATTACTCTTATCATAATCAAGACTACGGTCAACTACAAGAATCGAATATTGATAATTTTATTAATGGAAACGTTTTAACAGAAAAGCGCTTGGAAAAAAAAAGGGATCACTTGAATCCTTATACGACTATATCTTTAGACTGTTCAAGAGATGACAATAATCAAGATTTACTAAGATGGAAGCGACCTAGAAGATGGAATGAATTGGAACCATTTGAGATGTACAATTTTGATCCTGATCGAATGTATTTAAGCTTACCACGAAAAAGTAAAATAAGGAATTCTGATATTCAATTTTTTGATGACTTTAACGAAACTATTAATAGTTCAAGAAAATATCCAAAGAGTTTACATGACCTTACTGATGCAGAAATTGATAGAATTTTAGAAAGAGACACAACTTTTCATCTACCAAGTGATTTAGTCAGTCAACAATCTATATTTGAGCGTTACATAAGAAGCTATGAGGAAGGTATAGAGAATAGAAATGATAATTATTTGAAACTTTACACTAGTTTATCAAGATTAGATCGTAAAATGCCACGAGAAAAATACGTGCCCGGTAAAGTTCACTATGAACGAGAATATCGAATTTATGGTAGGGATACAGTGGCACTAATTTATTATAAAACATGCTATTTGTGATGTCTTATCAATCTAATAATGAAAAATTATATTTATTTTGTCGATTCATCATCATCATCGTCGTCATTATCATCATCGGTATCATCGTGGACATTCAGAATAAAATGTATTTATCATTTAAACATATTTCAAATAGTAAACGCTGGTCGTTTGCAATAGAAAATGAAATGCTCATCATCGTAATTACGTCCACATTATTTTGATAATATACATTGAATGACAAATAAATCCATGGAAAAAAGATACTGTGAAATTTTGCTTAGAAATCCTTCACTTTTTTCTATTGAGGTCACGTTGTAAAAATTAAAGAATTATTAAGCAAAATTTGACAGAGTCTGTTTTCCGTGTGAGGTATGTTATTCATTTCGAAAATAATTATTGTTTATTCTTATAAAAAAGGCAGAACTTCCATGCATCGTGCCTTCCTCAAGAAATACTAAAAAAAAATATATATTGACAATATTAAACAAAAAAAATGTTTGGAGATCATTAATACTAATAATCGTATTAGATTATAAAAAAAAATTTCATATCACTTTTAAAAATTAATTTTTTAAATGAAAATTAATTGTGTATTTTTCTTCTTTTGAAATTTTTAGATTATCGATTTTTTAGTAATAGTCTAGAATAATTAATTTGTTTCAATTTTTAAATGAAAATGATATTTAAAAAAATTGATAAAGCATAATGTATGGGACTCAATAGTGAAAAAATAACAACAATTATTGAAAAATGATGTATATAAAATATTTAACTGCTCACCAATGCGAGCCGCATAACTTAAATAACAAACAGAAGACAATATCATTGAATTGTATATATAAATAATGATAGCATAGATAAATAAATTAAACATAAATTTCGGATAAATAATTATCATATTGTATTCCGTATAAATTAGATTCAATATATTAAATATAATAATAACATCATCCTTGAAATTCATCTACTAGAAAGTAATTAAATGTTTACCTAAACAAATTAATTTTAAACGGATGATAGAAAAAATAATCGAGTTTTATAAACGATGATTTATGAAAATATGACAACTAACATTTAAGAATTATTGGATTATACTGCCATTATTGTATTTTATTAATCATTGCATTATACATTCAAATGAAATAATATCATTTTTTAATTATATTTATAGATTTAATTAATTTATTTTATTGTATACATTATTTCCTTTTTTTTATTAAAGATTTTCTTCAGTTACTTAATATTTGAGGTTTTTATTTTATTTTTTTTTACATTAAAAAAGAAAAAAAATTAAATATAGAGCTAAACATATTCACATCTGTGATCTTTAATGATGATCAATGATCAGCATGATTAAATTTTTTTCTATATAGTGATGAGTAATAAAAGACATTTTCTTTTAAAATTAAATGTCCAATGTTTCGAAAAAAGAGAAAATTAATTTAATTCTGTTAATATAAATAGATGTAATTAAAAAAAATTTTCCACTCGAAATAAAAAAAAATTGTAAATGATTTTTCAAATTTATCCAAATTTAATTAACATATTAATTACTAGTCATATAACAAAATCAATCTACAGTCGCACTTTTGAGAATTGATAACAAAAAAATTGTATTGAATTAATATTTCTAGGTCATTTTTGTGATCATATCACAAACAATCACTGAGAGCCTAGTACTTATAATTATCATTAAAATTGATTTAAATACTACTAATAATTATTTCTTGACGAAAAAAATTTGAAGAGTTCAATTGTTTAATTTCAATTAATTGACAAGTAAATTTAGAAAGAGAATAATGATGATAAGAAAAAGCGATCAATAAATTTAAATAATATTCGGACAATAATGTAAAATTAATGATGAATTATATTACTACCAAATGTATTTCAATATTTTTAAACTTAATTTGATAAAAGAACTCAGAGAATTTATGTAAACTATATCTACATTATAAAAAACAAATAGAAGAAACGAATTACATTGTACACTGATCAATATATTTTCAATAAGAAATCATTCTAATAATTGATCAAGTATTCAATCTTTTAAAAAGCTAATAAATGATTTAGTAATTTTTTTATATTCCTCTATTTAAGAGTTTTATTCACTCTAGTGTTCTAGAAGTAATAACAATAGATACTATAATGTGGTGTTTAAAATGTGATATGCTGGTCATAGCTGACACGAAAAAATATTCTGAACGAGTAATCATTACGAAATTGCAAAAAAAAAAGGTATTTTCCACAAATAAAATTTATGAATGAATAATAAATAAATTTACGTAAATACATATTGTATAAAAATATATATAAATACATATAGTAGCATTGCTTGTTAGTTTTAATATTTTTGTAATGAGGCGTAGAGTACAATGTAATAGTGATCTTACTTGTGCTTCAATTATAAATTTTCCATTTCTATACTAAAATAATGATACTAAATTAAATAAAAAGAAACAGTGCATTTTTTTATTCATTTTTTTAAAAGCTTTTTTATAGTAAAAAAATTGATACTTATTAAGAGATAATATTTCGCTGATTCGACATATTGGTAGCTTTAAATACATAAATGTATATCTTTATACAAACTGGTCCAAATGAAAAGATAAAGATGATAAATCTGTATTGTTATGTAATAATGGAACAAATAATGTATACAAAAAGTAACACCAAATAAAAAATTACTCAATGACAATTACAATAATAAGTATTTAACTAATATTGACATATTTTTATTAATTTTTAGCACAAAGTAGTATTCACTGATTTAGAAGTAAGATGATAGGTTCAACACCAAGATATGTTAAAAGAATATAATTTAATTGTCAGTGTGTAAATTACTGGATGAATGTTTTCTAAAGATGCTTATATTCGTATCAAACATTTCATAGAAATAGTCGAATTATCTCATGTAAATAATAGTTTTATGTGAATAATAATTATTAAAATCAAAATGTTAAATGTTTATAGATTCTATATACTTATATACATTCTATTAAATAAGCGTCTTCGTTATATTGAAAATAGAATTTCATTATATCAAATCAATTCAATAAAGACGACTTTACAAATAATATTTCATAGTTTTTACTAATTTTTTTATTCTCTGTTAACTAATATTTCAATTATGATATTACTCTTAATAATAAATTGTTTTAAGACTTACCAAGTTGAGGGACAGATGTAAATGTTTCACAGTCAACTAAAAATTGCCCAACTTGCACAGCTCCAAGTGCTAAGACTCGTTTGGTTAAAAAATCTATCGTTTGTGGTCCTGTTCGTTTTTCCATCATTGGAAATTGCTGTAATCTATTAATTAAATAAATTATTTAATATCATAAGTTATTTTTCATTAAAACAAATCAATAATATTATTAATAAAAAATGTAAACAACACGTGAGACGGTAACCTCGAGGATCTGTGATCAGAGTCGGAGAAATATATCGGTGATAGTACACGTTTTACGTGAAAATTGAACTATTATTAATAAAATTCGACTAATAAAAAATACTCACACTGTAACACCCATAATTATTTTGTGTTCAAAACAGAAAAAATACCACTTAAATATATCACAGTGCCGATGCTTTGAAAGTAAAAGTTATTTACGACGCCATTTTCATTTGTGACAGTTCTAAATAATTGATCCCGCCTCTAGTGGTCATAAAATTAATTACCAGTCCAATTTCCTTATCTTATGTCAATAAAACAAATACTATTTTTACCAACAGAAAACAATTTATTAACAACAATTATTATCGCTCATTACCATAAAAACTGTATTATCAACTTTTTCAAATCAAAAAAATTAATTTTTCTAATTTTCATTAGTTATTGAAGTTTTTAATAACTAGTTATGGCAAGGCCGACATCAGAAGATCTCCGTAATGCTCAACAATATGCAAATCAAAGAATAAAGCTGCTTTATATAAAAAAAATGTTTAATAAATTCCCTCATATAACTTCATGGTTAGAGTACAAAGTATCAAGAGCTAATCCAAAATCTGACTACAATTATCCAGAAAAATTTAAACCACGAGCAATTTTTGTAGAAACTAAAATCACTAAAAAATTATGTGAAGGTAAACTTTCATGTAATCAATTTACCGGAATACCTAAGAACGATGGAATTTGTGAGGTGAATCAAGAAGCAGCCAACTATCGAGTTGGTGACGGAGGAAAAGTAGGAGAACAGAGAGCAGGGATTCATTATGACGTCCACTGTCAACCTGCATGTTATCACTTAAAAGAAAGAACGGGTCCTAATGATAAGGACGTTCATTCCTTTCCATTACGGTATTTTAATAACCAATGCACTATAATCAATCCCGCATTGTTAAAGTGGATGGAATTCCCTTACTTCCGGTCAGAAACAATTTACGAACATCGTGTTAATGACTTACCAGCTGGGTTCAATCGATCTATTGCTCCAAGTTCACTTACAACATCTGGATTAAATTATGAGTATAATAAAATTTATTGTGATTCATTCTTTGACAAATTTGATGACGTTAAGAAAAATTGCTCTACTCCTTGGTACGAAATAATTGGCAATGCTATTGTTGGTGAATATATTATCAAGCTTTGTAAAGCAGCACATCGTGCTCAAATAAATGGAAATTGGAATGACTTGCCCCCAACAGCTGATCTCCCAACTGTGCCTACCCTAGATCCCAAAAAGAAGATGAAGCTTAGAGATTGGTACAATGATATTAATTTAAGTTTCAAATGTCCAGATCCTGAAATGAATTTAGCTGAGGATACTCCAAAACATCCACTAAACAGAGAAAAAAAACTTGAGGAATTAAAAACGATTGAAGATTCACTAAAAAAGCCACTAGTCTCTGTAGGCGAATGGCATGAAATAAAAACTGAAAAACTCACCAAGAATATAAAAAGTCATCGAACCCGAAGGCAAGCAAAAATTCCAACAGATTCTTCTATTGCAAAAGACCCATTCCTTAAAATCTTCATGAACTTTGCAAAAATGTTTCTCGATCCAAATATGTACAGAGATTTAGCTATTTTCATTGGTACTCAATCTCTTGCCAAAATGCTCAAAAAACTCGAGATTTACATGACCAAAGAATTAGGTCCAAAATTATTTGCTCAATTTATGGAAACCAAACTGATGACAAGCATCTTTGGTGAAGTAATAAAAGGAACAATAGAACATATATCAACATCACTTGTTACCAAAGTTTGTTTTGAGTTTGCTTCTAGAATAGCTTTCCTTTTAAATCCATTGACCGCAATGTTTGATTGGGCCCTGGTATTAACTATGATGATGGACATGATTTTAACTTTCGTGGATCCATTGAACCTGAACAAAAAATATCCAGAAGGTTATTTAGAAAATTTAATTATTTCAAGTGAACATACATTAAAAAAACAGCTAAACATGACTGAACCGGTCATTAAATTTGAAATATTCGTGCAAATGCTATTGACACAGGAAGAAGTTGGAGAGATATCTCTACACTCTTGGAGATATATTAATGAATATTTGGCAGCATTAGACTACAATTCTGAAGGTTCTATAATTATTCATGATGAGGAGAAAGATGCTCATGAAGTAATCACTCATTATTATGAAAATAATCAAGACGAGATTGAAAAAGTTCATTTATTTACTGAAAATGATATAGAATTGTACGAACATGATCACATGTGTCGTATGAAATTGATAGATAAGGTTAAAAGAGCATATTGGCTTAGTGGTATTGGACTAATAGCAGCTATTATTAAAGAAAATATCATTATTTCATACGTTTTAGTTATTCTCACAAGTATTTTAGTTTATATACAGTATTTAGTAGCAGAAATAAAAGATTTCACTGACATTGAGTTTTATTTCCAATGGATTTAAGTTAAATAAATAAATAAATACATTTATTAATTAAGCTAATTAGATTGAGAAATTGATGAAAATTTATTTTTTTAAACTGAAAAGTTTATTTACATTGGAAAGTAAATAAGTGGTAACTTTTTTCTTAATACAAAATTAAGTTAAATTGTGATAATATAACTACGTTTAAATGAAAATATTTTATATTTGTAAGTACATTTAAGATTATGTATGGATTTATGGATTGAGTGCATAGTATATAAAAGTAGAACCAAAAGAGTACTTAAATATTCCTATCCACAGCATTGCTATGCTTCGTTCGACCAACTAATAATAAAAGCATTGGCATGACGGAAGCACAAGCATGCATCTATTATAGAACCTTAGACAATAGCATTATTGTTCTATTACTAGAGGAGACCGTGATAACTTCTGTATATTGAGCATAAGTAAAAGTTTTCCTCCAAGGAATCTCGCTATCGACAAATACCATAAATTTCAAGTGCAGATTTGTTGTAATACCATTCGCCAGTGCGATTAATCATTGATTTTCCAATGTATCAATTGTGAGAGATAACTAAAATAAATACTAAATATATAATTAAACAATAAAATTACCTGTCTTTTGAAATAAAACAATACATTTTTTTTATTGAAAAGGAAACACTGGATCCTTTATGGAACATTCACTGCGTGTTGACATTTTGGAAATCTTTGATTGAATAATGCATTAAAAGCAGATAATTCTTAAATGAATTGATATATTTTTTTTTATTAAAGTGTGATAGAGAGAAAAAAATAAATACTAATGAATTATTGAATCAATTAAGACTTGATGGTTTATCGATTTTATAAACTCGGATATCTTTGTGATATGTTCATTATCGGATTTTTCATGAATGTATCAAGTGGATGATCCATATAGAATAATGGCAAGTTTTACAGGCTCGAAAGCAACGCGTATCACTCGCACAATGTTGGAAGAGTATGCACTAGCTTACGTACTTGAATAAAGCCGAAATACTTGAGTGAGTATCTGGAGTATATAGTAAATTCCAAAAAACTGGATGGAGATTTTGCAACTCGAATTGTTTTCTAAAGCTTAACATTTATTTTCTTCAGTGTTTTTAAGCTTTTTCAAATTTCAACGCTACTTTGAATATATATGTATAAAATCTTACATCATCGCCTTAACCAGCCATAGATTTATATTAAATTTCATTGTTACTTGCATACAGAATATGCATCATAATCCATCAATTTATTATTTTATTATCATTACGAAAACCATTCATATTTTACTTGATATCTGTCGACAATTCTCGATCTTAAACGTTTCATATTTACATTTAATTTTTTTTTTCAAGCATCTTTATTTTTATCGTAAAGTTTTAAATGCGAAAAAAATTTTTTTTTTTCAACAATAAAAATATATTTTTTATTTACATCATTCAATAGTTTAATATCTATAAATTAATCAAATAGTTGCTTTAAAAAAATTCATTACAATTGTTTTCTATTACATTGGCGTTCATGTAATATTTTTTCTAATTATAATCAAAAAATGCATCCAATGTAGAGTTTTACGTTGGAAATTTTCTGTTCTACCTACTTCGATCACTAATTTATTGTTATTACAATAATTACATTTCGTACTATGAATTTATAAATTAAACAATCAAATATTTGATATCAGATAATCTGTTTTCATCCGACATCATTTGTGAAAATATTATTTTTTTTTTTGCTAAAACTGATTAAAAAAATGGTTCAATTAATTTTCTAAAAATAGAAAGTTTTATCTTTTCAATATTTAATTATATATTTATTTTTATTTAAACAAGAATTTTCGAATTCATGTATGAAAACAAACACAACTGTAATAATCTTTAATTTACAATTGATTAGTGATGGTAGAAATAATTAAGGATCCTAATAAAGGTAAAAATAGTTTTTATAATATAATAAATGCATTATTAACATCATGACAGTTCTATATAATAGTAATTATTGTACCAAATTGGTTTCTGGCTTGTAGATAATGGGGTCTAGAGTAAACTCGAGTGGACCATGCGAAGCTGACGTGCTGACATGTCAACAGCAACTATGCATCATCGGATGTCTACTGCACGTAACGTATCCATGGGATACGGGTAGTAGATGTATGTTCATTACAATAATCATAGCGACGAGAAGTAGCCTATCCTTTTCATGTTCTCTCTTTTCATTCATGTGCATTTTGTCTCCTTGATTTACAGAAAGACATTTAGCGATTAAATTCACCGTGAAGATGTATCAATATCCATGAAAAAAATGATAATTTAATGGTAAGAATTCAAGGAAACATATTTCAATGTTGATCGACTATGGCTCATTAAATTGACGGCTGATATGATGTGTTCATTACCGTTAGTTCAGTATTCTCGCAATGTGCTTAGTTATTCCGCATTGACGATGCTTAATAGTTATTGATTTTTCTAATATTAATTAATTCATTTCTCATGACATTATGGTTATAATGATAAAGATTAGGAAGGAAAGCAGATAAAGAATAAATTTATAAGTAGAAATTACAGTAATTAATTTAATGTGTTTCTTTTGTTTGAAAATTTTTTTTCAATAGTCGATGCTAGCTAATCAAAATATCTAAAAAAAAATTTAATTACTACAATATTAAATAAAATTTTTTACGAGATCATTCAAACTATTTTTCAGGTGGATACTTTGAACGCAGTAAACTGTATACAGTTATAATTTATAAACACTACACCATTTTCTCTGAAAATTATACGACATATTGAGCTTGCCTACATCTTCTGCTGCTGGAGTACTAAAGTATTATAATATTCGCTGGCTCACTTGGACTTATATTTGGTTAAATAATACCAACAAAATGTTTATTTATTTCTCATAATCAATTGAAAATTGACAAATAGAAGCTTTAAGGATTCCTTTATCAAGTATGTATCACATTTATTATTAATGAAACCCATGCAATTCTATAATTACTTATATATATATAGTAAACAACAACGTTGTAAGTTCCGGTTTCACGAAATCGATATGCCACCGTTGAACTTTCAATTAGTGTCACTTAGTTCGGTAAACACAACTGCTCTCTTTTCTCTGCATCCTGACAAACTATTTCTATTACATCATCTTTCAACAACGATCGATAGAAAAAATATCAAAAACATTTTAACTTTTTTTTTGAAATATTTTTTAATATTTCTGACTTTTAAAATTGTTCTTGCTCTCGAAATCATCGAGTAATTAACAACGTTAAGTCAACGCTAATTTTATTATTAAACTTTACCATTTAAGTTATTTAATTTAATTATATTTCCAACTTCATCTTTAATTTTATCAAGTAATATAGAACTAAACTCCTAGACTTCCCTCAGAATCATCTTATAGCTATTTGTTTAGCCTGGTTAAGACCTAATTTTCAACGTAAATTCCAATGACTGGTGGGCTTTTTATCGAAAAAAAGACGAACATTAAAGTACATCCCTTAGATACTGCGTTAATAATTTTTTTAAGCCAGAAAGTGCTGTTGATCTTTTAGAAGATTGAAGAATCATCTTCTTCTATTTTTAATTTTAACGCAATAACGAAAGATTATAAAAATTGTTTCAACCAAAAATTTCCAAAGCTGAGATAATGAGCGTTAAAATACACTTTAATAGATCAAAATTCAATTATTTTTATTAGAGATATTGAATTTTAAAATTTGTTCAATGATAAAATTAAAATAAGGTAATTGTTCTTGAAACAAAAATAAAACTTTTATTACTAAATAGGTATCCCAAAACCACACTTGGAAGTTTCAGAACAGTTGTATAGACAAAGATGGATTTCGGTTTGTCTTGTAAACATGACATCAAGATGTAGTTCCACTTCACGTTGGATATACGAATTTAGAGAGTGAAAGAAACAAAGATACTTCCGAAGCTTGATAGTATAGATATGCCAAGTAGTGACTTAATCAAGTTTTCCTTGCTCACGAGAAAAGGATACAACTTAAAGAGAGAAAGACAAAAGTTAAGTCGCAAGAGTTCTCACATCTCTATAGTCACCACAACTTGTCCCTCAGGCTACCACTGACTGTATTCTGATAGTAATATTAAACTTGTCCGATGCTTCATGCTCTAGGCCACTGAGAAATTCTCCAGCTTTCTCTTTCTCTCTCAATCAAATCCAGTGAAATTTAATATTACATACGGTTTGAAATATTTATATTGAATTACTCTGCAAGAATATTTATTTAAAAATTGAATATTCTCAAGCAGATATTTTTGTATTTATTTATTTTCATTTTATTAATCAAGATGATGTGACTTTTCTGAATGTCAATTTCGGTACAATTAAGTTGGTAGAATTTTTAAAAAAATTTCTTTAGAAATGAAAACATGGAATTGCTATAAATATATACTTGAGAGCCAACCTGAGCTCTTTTATTCTGTCCTGAGCTTTGTCAATGTTGACTTATCGTAAAGTTATATAACTGGTTACAATTAAAGTTGGTTAGGGAAAATTACTAGAGAGATGTAGGTTGTATTATAGTATTTTATGAAAAGGTTAAGGATGAGAAAAACGGACGCTAATTTCATTCTTTTGTCCTCTGGGTTTTGAGAAGAAAATTTAATAAATAGATAAATATTAAAAATACTTAAAAATAGTATCAAAGTATTTATCAAGTTTTTTTGCCGTTTAAAAATTTATTAAAACATTTTCAAGTCATTAATTCACTCTAAAACCTCTTTTGAAAAAATATTTTTGATTAATAATTCAAGGGTGTAAATTTGTTTTGAATTCATGTCATCTAATAGAAATTTCCAATGGTAAAAAAAATGATTCATATTTTTACAAAAAAATTTCCTTCTCACAAATGATTTAGACGTTTCAGAAATATTAGAAATGGGTATAATTCAAGGCTAACGTAGTATCGATGCTATAGATATTTAGAATTCCAATCGAAAGGATATTGTCATTTCTAACAATCCTGAATACCTAAAGTC